TGCAGTGTGAAAATTGCACAACTTGGCATATCGGAAGTGGTCTACTCGCTAAGCTATAACATGGATAATGAGGTTTGTGCCTGCATTACCACTCATTCACCTGAATCACCTGAATCACCGGAAGACAAACTACTGACTTACCCCAGACTGCATCAATTTTGAAAGAAGCTGGAGTGAAACTCCGTCAGTTTTTACCTGTAAGTCAAGGCTTTTCCAAATAAAATACAAATAAAAATACAAATAAAAATAGGACAACAATGTGGTCTAACAGTATTCTAGCCACGTAACGGACTCGTGTACCTCGAAAGGTCTAGTATTATGATTAGTAACGACCACGAAGTATTCAATCCGGAGCTGGCATTATGATGGCAGTGTACACACGTCATTTACTCGGTAATTTGTAAGCATTTCTCTTTTCTTTCTTTTCATTTCTTTCCTTTTTGAAGTATAGAAAGAGAGAAAGATATATATGAATATAAATAAATAAATAAAAGCGGTATTATCGGCGTGTATCTGTGCTCAAGGAGAAATATCAAAAATTATATCAAACTTTTGAGGAACAACGAGTAAGAAATCTCAGTACCAGGGGACCATATCTTATCACCTACAGGTCCCCAAAGTACCACTTAAAAATTTTGCAAGCTAGTCAATTGGACAATACTAGTACAGTATACGCAGTCATGTAATGTAGATTTTTGTTGGATGCATGCAGACTGGCCACCAACTTCCAACCACTGGAGATTTGAGATGAGAGTAGTGGCTACGCTCTCTATCTTCCACCATAGCCAGTTTGGTCGTGATTGGCCAATCACGCGGTTCCCTCGATAAAGCTTTTCTAATGTTGAATTTTAAGGTTACGTGACTCATCCCAACTTAACCTTGGTTAACTTCGTGCACAGGGCACATTGGTTTCTGGGAAAGAATCAGCACTGCTCAGCCATTTGATAGCGGTGTTGCTCTTTTACTCTGGACAAAATGCCAGTTGTCCATCTGCTAGATTATGTAGCGGGCAACATCCGGTCTCTAGCCAATGCCATTGAAAAGGTTGGATATCAAGTCGAATGGATACAATCGCCAGAAGATGTGCAGAATGCAGAGGTTCGTCAACATATTAATCCCTGGATGTGGGAGACATCGCTAACATTCATATTTGCAGAAACTTATTTTGCCTGGTGTTGGACACTTTGGGCATTGCATAACGCAGCTCTCAAATGGAGGGTATCTGGAGCCAATACAAAAACATATAGCCGCTGGCAAACCTTTTATGGGCATCTGTGTCGGCATGCAGGTTCTCTGCGAAGGTTCTGAAGAGGATCCAAATGTCCATGGTTTGGGGTTAATACCTGTCAGCTTGTCAAGATTTGATTCCACCAGTAAAAGTGTTCCCCACATTGGATGGAATTCAGCCATATGCTCCAGCAAAAACTCTGAGAAATACACTAGTCTGTATGGCCTTCATCCACAGAACAAATACTATTATGTTCATTCATACGCAGCTCCTTACGATGAGAAGGCGCTTGCTGATCAAGGATGGACGGTTGCGACTGCAACTTACGGAGACGAAACATTTATCGGCGCTGTTGGCCGCGATAATATCTTTGCGACACAGTTCCACCCAGAGAAAAGTGGCAAAGCTGGCCTCCGTTCGCTTGAGTTTTTCTTGAAGGGCCAAAGCATTCGAAATTTAGACTCCCCTCCATCCGTTACAAGTACTAGCGGTCTAACGAGACGGGTTATTGCGTGTTTGGACGTCCGTACGAACGATGATGGTGACTTAGTAGTAACAAAGGGGGATCAATATGACGTGCGTGAGAAAAGCGGACACCAAAGTGGAGGACAAGTTAGGAATTTAGGAAAGCCCGTGGAAATGGCGAAACGATATTATGAGCAAGGTGCCGACGAGATTACGTTTTTGAATATTACTTCCTTCCGACATTGCCCTGTCGCAGATGTCCCAATGCTGGAGATTCTGAGGCAAACTTCGAAAACGGTTTTTGTCCCATTGACTATCGGTGGAGGCATCAGGGATACCGTTGACTACGACGGCTCTAGAATTTCGGCCTTGGACATCGCGAAGATGTATTTTAAATCCGGGGCCGATAAGGTTAGCATTGGATCCGATGCAGTTATCGCTGCAGAGGATTACTACGAAAATAACCGCACCCTCAGCGGTCACACTGCAATCGAGACCATATCGAAAGCGTACGGTAACCAAGCCGTAGTAGTTAGTGTCGACCCGAAGCGAATTTATGTTAGTGCGCCTGAGGAGACACCACATCGGACGATCAAGACGAAATATCCCAATGTTGCTGGTCAAGAATTCTGCTGGTACAGATGCACCATAAAAGGGGGAAGAGAAGGTCGAGATATCGATGTTTACCAGCTTATCAAGGCGGTAGAGGCCATGGGGGCAGGAGAAATCCTTCTTAATTGCATCGACAAGGATGGGAGCAACAGCGGTTTTGATATTGAACTCATCAATGACGTGAAGTCTTTTACCACAATTCCAGTTATTGCGTCCAGTGGGGCCGGTAAACCTAGCCATTTTGAAGAAGTTTTCATGGAAACTACCACGGATGCAGCTCTAGGAGCAGGCATGGTACGTACTATTGAATCAAATATGCTCCTCATTACATACTGACCTGAAACTAGTTCCATCGGAATGAATACACTGTGAGGGATGTAAAAGATTATTTGTCCTCCAGAGGACTTGTAATCCGTGAGTTTGAAAAGTAACTGCGGGTGATCAGGCGAAATTTCTAGTAACAATTACCTTAAGTCAATAAAGGATGTCATTGTCCTCTTTAAGGATTTCATATCTACAAAACTCTTAACTACAACTAACCCCTGTTCCACGTGGGGCGAAGCAAATAAAACATCACCTTGAGGGATACACTTGAATATGGTTTTTAAAAGTCAGTCCAACTGTTCAACCACACTCAACTTCGATCAATTCATCTTCAACACACCCACATCACAGTTCACACTGATATTGAGTTGAATTACTACTGCATGCTCATTATCCCCAATACAAAGTTAGAGATTAGAGATTAGTGATTAGAGATTAGTGATTAGGTTTAGAGATGGAGAGTTAAGATTCGAGAAATATGGTGTAAGCCATTGTATGGTGAGTAGTTCAGCTAACTATTCCGATGATATGTATCAAAAATATGGTGAGGCAATTTATGGTGACGAATCCTCCGCTGACTCATTCCGCCGATCTCGATGGAATCGCCCCTTGCTGACTAATCGGGAAAATTCCTTTGCCCAAGCTCCAACTTCGAAACTTCGCCTTCTGAACATCAACTTCCATCTCCCATCCGCACCTCACTCTTCTGTCAACATCCTTTCTGCATCCTTTTCATCATCTCGGCTCTCTTTAATGATCACCTGCGCCATTTTGCATTCCCCTACTGACTGCTTGTTACTGAATAACTTCGCTCGACTTGCAAATGTACAGTAATCCGTTCGGTTAATCTTCACTTGTCTCACCGCCATATGTCCACCTACTTTGTCTTCGTTGATACCTAAGTTGCGGCCTGTCTTTTCCAATCGCATTTACAGTTTTTGAAAGTTGCACTCGAGGTCATCTTCAAAAAAACTCATAAACATCGGGTGGCTTGTACGAGGTATTGGGATCCAGCTGGCTTTAAAAAAAAAATTATTATCGTTATTGTGTTGCTAGGTTGTGACAGACAATCGAAAGCTTTTATTATCCTTCCCACGCGAATACCTCTTTATGTACAAATCCTTTTATTGTTGTTCTGGGGCTATCTCACATCTCGTTGATTCCCTCTTTTTTTACTGCAAGAAAATCCTATCAACTTATCGATACAAACATAATCCAGTTGAGGTTATTCCAGTCCCACCCTAGCATCCCCAATCTCCTTACTCAATAAATCGATCTTCAAAAGGACTTTATAATAAGTTCACATTTGTGGTGTGGTTGGCGAAACTGAAACCAGTCGGGACAGTGCATTATTGCTATCATTGTTTACACACTGCCTACATTGATCTCAGCTCCCTAATCCAAAATATTGTCCATTGTTAACTCTTCCCATCAATTACCATGACTTCTTCTGTTCATTTCAAGTTCAAATCTCAGAAGGAACCCTCGAGGGTAACGTTTGATGGCACGGGTATATCAGTTTTTGAGCTGAAAAGAGAAATCATCAATCAAAATCGACTAGGCGATGGAAGTGATTTCGAACTCGCAATTTATAATGAAGATACCAACGAAGGTAAGTCGCAATAAACAGTCGTGTGTACCTTGCCAAAGTTTGACGCCGCGGACCTAACTCTGCTCGCATAGAATACGACGACGATACAACCATTGTCCCACGATCCACGTCTGTAATCGCCCGCAGGCTTCCTGCTGCAAGACCCGGGAAGGGTGGGGCTGCACGCTATGTCTCTGGTAAAATGCCAGTGAACGCTCGTAGTTCCGCCAGGATTGACGCCCCTTTATCCAACCGACCTAACGGTGGAGGCACAACTATAAACAATATTACCGACTTGAATACTGCGCAATCTGAAGATGAAAAGATCAAAGCATTATTTAGCTTGCAAGAAACGCAATGGAAGGAACAACAAAACGAAATGGCCAAGTAAGAGACGCAACAGCCACCTTTAAATACTATTTCTTTTGACTCTATTCACTTACTGACAAAACCCGGTTAACAGTGCTACTCCAGTTCTATTTAACCGAAACAGAGCAAAACCTGTCAATATTCCTGATCACCCTCCGCCACCAGGTTATTTGTGTTACCGTTGTCGAGAGAAAGGTACGCAATTATTATCAGTAACTATATATTTTAAACAGGCTAACTTTAATATTCATAGGACATTGGATACAAGCGTGTCCCACCAATAATGATCCTAAATTCGATGGTCGTTATCGAGTCAAACGATCAACGGGAATACCCCGATCCCTCCAGAAACAGGTTGAAAAACCTGATTCCTTGGCATTGGATGGAGCAAATGAAGATTCGAAGCTTTCCGGAGTGATGGTAAATGCGGATGGTGACTTCGTGGTTGCCCAGCCAGACAAGGCGTCATGGGAATTGTACCAGGAAAAAGCTAAAGCTTCTGCTGCAGCCGCAGCTGAATTTGCAGCAGCTGAAGGGAACAAAGAGATACAGGCGCGAGGTTTACAGTGTCCAATTGATAAACGATTGTTACTAGAGCCAACGAGAACGCCATGCTGCAAAAAAACTTATTGCAATGATTGTATCACAAATGCATTGATCGAAAGTGATTTTGTTTGCCCTAATTGTTCTACGGAAGGCGTATTGATAGACAATCTAACAGTGGACGAAGAGGCCATGGATAAGCTGAAGGATTATCAAAAAGAGAAAGCTGAGAAACAGGAGAAAGAGAGAGAACAATCTGTTAGCGACAAGTCCACCATATCCCCACCAAGAGCTACTTCGAAACTCGCCAACCAAAAACACGAGTCCACTTCTTCCCCAAAACTACCAACCCAATCGAGTCCAACATATCCGAAAAAAAGGTCTGCAGGAGAAGAGGATGAGAGCAATAATAAGCAGGAACTTGCTGCTCCCCCACCGGCAATGAAAAAGCAGAAATCAAACGACAGCCAACCCCAAACTACCATCCATCACAACCAGAAACCAGAGCCCCATAACAAATTTTCTCCGTCACAGTTCCATCAGCAACTACCCCTTGGAAATTTTAATTCTCCATCTGCCCATCCATTCCCAAGGCCCGCTTTGGCGCCAAATAACGTAAGGCCAATGTCGGGATTTATTGCGCGGTGTAAATACCCCTTCTCCTCTCCATCACGGATACGCACAAGCCAAAAATGGATGGAATCAAATGGCAAATAATAATATG